TTCACTGCAGCTCAGTGTATTTTAACGCATTCTAGGTGTAATAATACGGCAGGAAAAGTGCAAATTTACACTTCGCAAGTGTTGGCATATTTTACACCAAATAAGTGTATATTTACACCATCGCAAAGTGTAAATTAACAGGGAGAAGAAGTAAGGTTACACCGTTATAATGTAAATCTACACCGAATTAGGTGTAATTAGGATATTTTCTATTTTACACCTAGTAAGTGTTACCAAAACACTAAAATAGTGTAAAGCTACATTGTGGAAGTGTAATGTTACACTCGAACAGTGTTTAATTCCGCGTTACACCTAATCAGTGTAATGTTACACCTTTTTGGTGTTGCCGCAACACCGCGAGATTTACAGTGTACGGGTTGCTTTTGAAAATATGATTTGTTTATACGCAAAATTCAGTTACAAATACTGTACTAAGAACGGTTGAACCGTGCACAAACTGTAAATTAATATTCTTTCATATTCGTTTTTAAGACTGTTTCCAATGACAGATGTTACCATTTAATTATAATAAGATAATAAGAAGCTTTAATCAAACTCGCGAAATTTACAATACTATGTGAGAACGGAACAAAAGACATTACAACAAATAAAGGCGAGTTAGATATGGGATCGGCGGCCGGACTCGAAGTCCCAACAAGGCAAACCCCACACATAAATTATAACTAGAAATTTACACTAAGAAAACCACATAAAACTTCAATAAAAGTTCTCTAATACCACTGAACAGACAGCCCAGTCTCTTGCTCAGGTTGACTGCACATACCAACGTAGAAACAAATTATTAATAGGAATTAATAATTATATAAGATATAATTATACAAGTTGCACTTTATATACAATTTGTTCTGGTGTTTGGAACAACGCTTCCTTGTTTTAATAGTATTCCCTTAATCTAGCTCTCACGATACGTTTCTTAAAACGTATTAACGCAATGACTTGTAATGCAATTAAAATTGCATTACACGTCTTTGACGGTGGCAGTGGGTAAGATATTCACGTTTTAAGTGACTCATGCACATAGGATAATTTCTTGAAACAAACGAGGTAAAATGCAACTGTACATGCAAAACAGCAAGAATTTTAACCTAGTAATGCTTATATCTTGACTCTCCCGGATATAAAACCCTTTTCCAATAGTATACATGCATGTAAAAGCATTAGGACATTTCTTTGTGGTGCGTGACTACCTACCAGAGCACCGTGGTAGTAGCAGTCACGTACCACAAGGAATGTCATTGTGCATACGATCTATTGTTTGTTGGCGTCATCTGCAGTCCATTGGGAAGTATCTGGCAGGCTCATAGTCGTCTTGTGATTGGTAGTCAATGCATGTGCATGTGCTTGCATGGCGGTAATATCCTCATTGTCAGTAGGAATCCGGGAGCATTTATTTTTTGAGGGATGTTTTGCACATATGGACCACCGTACAAATATGATTGATTAATATATTATATGAAATAAGAATTACTATAACTGGAGATACCGGTTTTGAAAATGTTTTATGCAAACGTTTGTTATAGGATGTTGTGTTGTGGTACGTGGCGTTCTATTCGGCTGCCATATGTCGTCTGCTGTCCTGCAACCTCGTTCCCAGCTCTTCCATAGGGAAGAGCCTGGGAACGAGGTTGGCTGTCCCGTTGTGTTGTATCGTGTTGTGTTGTGTTGTGTTGTGTTGTGTTGTGTTGTGTTGTGTTGTGTTGTGTTGTGCTGTGCTGTGCTGTGATTGTTCCTCTGCTGTCGTGTTCCAAGGCCAAGGCCAAGGTTGTTTTGTGTCAGTTGTGCTGTTTTGTGTGCCTTTTTGTTGTTCTAGAGTTTTTATTGAGTATACCTTCCAGTTGTAACAAAGTTAAACCTTTGAGAATCTCGGCGTTTCTGTATTTACGAAAAATATTGACTATTGTTGTTTATAATTTTGTTCATTTATTTCGTTGCAGAACATTTCAGTACGTTTGGATTATTAAACCAACTAGTTACTTTATCACACCAGTTGAATTACGATGCATTTAACCGCTCGAATCATAAGTACATGGCTCATCAATTGGCATTGCTTTACGTGAGTAAATATACAGGGTGTCCCCAAAAAAGTACCCTCTATAGAAATTTATCCTATTGTTGTTAAGCACAGGATTTTATGCGACTGGTAATTAAAAATTCAATTCAATTGTGTTTACGCACTCTTGTGTTCAGCATATAGTGCTCAGGCATTCAGATTATAACAATAGGATGATTTCTGTAGAGGGTACTTTTTGGGGGACACCCTGTATTTCGAAATGTGTGTTATGCATGCAAATAACGTGATAGACACATTTTGCTAAGGTTTGTTCATACCCAATTCACAGCCTCATGAATTATTAATGAGTTTTTAAAAATAATATATAATATGCTAATTATATTATATAAGTAGAGAAGTACTATATTTTATGTAATATTTCAAATCCGAGTTAGTGTTTTAGACGTGGTTTCTAAATACAAGTGCCATGAACAATGGCGAGGCGCAGCCGAGCCATTGTTCATGGCACTGGGGATTTGGAAGCCAAGTTTAAAACACTAACGAGGATTTGAAATTGCTTCTCACACATCATTAGATATTCATAGCAATGAGGCAGTAACAATAGCGAATTAAGTTGTTCAATGAGGCGAATGCGTAACGAAGGAACGAATTAAAGACGTTGTTGTTGTAGTATTTGTTCGCATTCAAAAGAAGCATGGCATCTAGTTGCAAAAAGAGGAGATTTCGAGTTCTTCAAAGCGTGGAAAGAAGCATTGACAACATCCGAAATGCTATTCCACAAACAACGCGTTATAAAAATCGTTGGGGAGTTCGTATATTTGAAGATTGGTAAAGTGGGCGAGAAAATAAAGCAGTCATGTGTGAGAGCAATCCTTTCAGCTTAGATTTGCAGAATTTGCAAAATTTGGAGACAGAATTGTGTCCAATGACGGCAAGAACGTTAAACTTCTGGCTTATCAAATTTGTTCAAGAAGTTTGCGACAAGGATGGCAAGCCATATCCCGGGCGTACAGTATACTATGCTCGTTGAAACGACATCTAGACGAAAATGGCCGGGCTGAAGCTAACATGTTAAATGCTAACAATCACTGGTAGGTTGAATTTGTTCATTTTTAGTTAATGGTTTAGTTTAATTTATTGTAATGTGAGCATGTGTATTACTCAGTTTCCAGACGTTCAGAAGAGTGCCGGATAGTGAAATGAAAGCCACCCACCGGGAAGGCGAATCGCTTGCGGAGAATCGTACAAGACGAGAGAAAGAAGCTATTACAGATGATGAAGAAGGTTTGCTGTGGTCAAAAGGCTTGCTGGGAGACAAAACTGCTGAACGTTTGGTTTACACAATTTATTTCTATATCGGAAAAATATTCGGATTAAGAGCATGTGAACACAGACAGTTAAGATTAAGCAACTTTGTCATAGAAAACAACAAAATTTGTCATCGAGAAAATATTTCGAAAACTTTTCATGGAGGATTGAAAGATTTAAAGAAGAAACCTAGAATTGTGACTCATTATTGTCACGAGGTTGAGGAAAGTGTGCATGAACCATGCCTGGTTCAAATGTTTAAGCAGTACATTTCCTTGGTCAGCGAGTTACCGAAAACTAATGAATCATTCTATTTTCGACCGAGTAAAACAGCGTATAAATTCGAAAATGCACCAATTGGTATTCATAAGCTTAATTCTATCGTGCCTTTTTTAATGAAAGAAGCTGGCCTTGAAATTAAGATAGCACACTGCCTTCGTGTCACAACAGCAACAAATTTGTTTCGTGCTGGCCATCAAGAAAAATTAATACGTGAACGAACTGGGCATGTTTCTTCTGCCTTATTTACGTATGAGAAACCTAGTAATGATCAAGCAATGGCTGTATCCAAGTGTGTTGGCCCATCTGTATCAAAGGTTGTGTCGCTTGCTGACAACTGTTTTAAGCCACCCTCGAAGCCTAAGGAAGACGAAAAGTTTCAAATTTCCGACGAGGAACTTGATAAGTTTTTGAGTGAAGTGGACTGGTCTAAAATTGATAAAGAGGTGCAGCGACGTACTATCGCAGAAAAGTTTGTTTTGTCGAACAGTACATTCACTAACTGTTCTTTTAACATTTAGAAGTTATTTCTAAATACAGCTTACTGTATTTAGAAATAATTCTAAACATAGCAATTAAATATATTTGCATAATCTTTTGTTTACCCCTCAATTTCCCTATTGTTCAGAGCCCTTCCCACTTGAAGTAATTAAAGTCCTGGTCTAGACGGGGTATCCAGATAGATACACGTGATGTAAATTACACCATGTCATTGGCCGAAATGCTATGAATATCTAATGATGTGTGAGAAAGATAGAGAAGAATTACATGAACAAATGAAACAACTTAGTTACAGGGGGGCAGAAGTGGGGGGAAGGGGGCAGGTCTGAGAAACCAGGCCTCAAAATTAATATACTTTTAGTTAAAAAGATTATTTGGTAAAGATTTTAATGGTCTTATGATTTCAAGAAAATCGCATTTAAAATATCAGTGAAGTATAATTGCATGCGTTTTTGAGCTGTCCAGAATGAGAAAAACATGATATATTACACAGAGAATTATTTTGAGGCCTTGTGCAAAATTGCTGCCCCTCCCCTCCCTGCCTAGACTTGCTCCAAGTCTCTCTTTCATTGTCATATAGTATCGGTCCACTATAGTGTACATTACTTGACGTAGTACGGAGGGGCGGAGCGAGAAAGAGAGACTTGTCAACTTCGGAAAATCTCGGTTCAAAACTGAACCGAAAATGCAAGACTTGCTTTAATTGTTTTCTGTCAGTGTTTATGTGTATTGATCTAGCACAGTGTAAATAACACGAGTTCCATTATAGTAAATAATACAGAAAGAAATTGAAGGAAAACAATTAAAGCAAGTCTTGCATTTTCGGTTCAGTTTTGAACCGAGATTTTCCGAAGTTGACAAGTCTCTCTTTCTCGCTCCGCCTCTCCGTGCTACGTCATGTAATGTACACTATAGTGGATCGATACTATATGACAATGAAAGAGAGACTTGGAACAAGTCTACTCCCTGCCAGACAAGATGGTGTTCATACTACGGATCTATGTTCCTGACAGGGTGTATAAAAAAACGCAACCTCGAAATTTCCTAAGAAATCCACTTTGCAATTCTTAAGCATAAAAGGTTTTACTCCCCTGGGAATTGAAATCGAATTGCTAATAGATCATATTTATATTTACTGTTGTTGTACTGTACAGGGTGTCCCAAAAAAAAGTGACACTATAGAAATTATCTCATTGTTCTTAAGCCGCTCTTAAACGCGCGTGATTACACGCCTGGGAATTTAATGAACTTGTATTTACATTTAAGCATTTTAAAACGTTTTCGCTTTGTCCAAATATTTTAACGCCCGAGTCAAGCAAAACGATTACACTAATAAACGGTTTGCTTTTTTATTTTAAATTCCAGAAGCAGAAGTTTATGCACCTGTGGGATCAACTTAGTGCTAGGGCATTCAAATTATATAATTTCTATAGTGTCACTTTCTTTTGGGACACCCTGTACTTGTAAAATAAAAACTTACTAAGTATCATTAAATAAATGCATAAATTTTGCTTTATGCTCTCGCATGTGCAGTAATTTTGACAGTTGTGCTATTTTAAATTCCCAGGCACCTAAAATCTTTTGTCCTGAAAACAATGTCGATTTCTTGGGAAATTCCGAGGTTGCGTTTTTTTTATACACCATGTAGTATACAGGGTGTCCCAAAAACCCCGAAAACTATTGAAATCACTTATTGTTAAATTTGAATGCCCTACCAAACAGCTGGACGTAATGATGCGTAAAATATTGACAAGGTGCATGTATTAGAATTTAGTTAGGAATATCTCCTGGTAAAGTGCGCGATTTTCTGCTCCTGGGAATTAAAAACAGCTTTTCTTAAACAGTTTCTTTATGCATAACATTTACTTATGTCAATCATTTATGCACTCGTGGAAACCAACAGAGCGCTAAGGCATACAAATTCTAACAATTAAATTGTTATTGGTGATTTCAATAGTTTTCGGGTTTTTTTGGGACACCCTGTATACAGAAGCATTGAATAGAACAAAGGTAACTAAGCTTTAGAATTATTTACATGAGTGCATGAATAACTTTTATACTTGATTATAATCTTAGTTATTTTTGTTCTGTTCTATGCTTCTGTAAAGTAGAACAATAGTAACTAAACTGGGTAGCAAAGATGTAAACAACGTTAGCTAAATTTGTCTATTCGTATTTTTACACATAGACGGGTCACCTGTCTGACGCATCACGCGTCTTAAATTGGCAAAAAAATTGTGTTAGTGTCCACGCTACAACGAAAATGATAAAATTATCGTTTGACGATAACGATAACGATTTTAAATCGCTCACTTGAGCGATTTTATAGTATGCAATCGAATATAAATTGCAAATTTCATAACGAACTAATAAATAAGATTTGTAGCTTCAGCAGTCATTTTCATTCGCCAGGATGGCAATTGTATAGGACTATAAAAATTACTACTTATATATTTATATAACTTACTATTATATATTCAAATAACATAATTCGTGCGAAACAAAATAAATTTTTTCATCGCATAATGAATGTTTTCATTCGGCAATAATAAAAAATCAGTTTTCATTCAGTAAAGGCTGTCGCCTCGTGGAATGGAAAATTTCATCTTTCACCTTATGAAAATCTACCATTGCACTCATAAACATTCATTATTATATTTGTATACTAAATTATACACTACATAATTGAAAGAATATTAGTTATTTGTTGACTCGCGGACACGGCGCTCGACTCAAGTAATTTCGATTCTGTTTCTCGTATTCACAATATCTAGCAATCAATCAACTTGCTTGGAAGCAAAGAACTGTTTGCTCAGAAGAAAGAGGTGGAGGGTAATTTCAAGGTTTTCAAATCTAAACTTGCAGTCAAAGACAAAGAGAGTGTTCCGAAACTGCCAGATGATGAAAAAGAATGGTATGTTATCTCTTTGTTTTTATACGTCGCGCATTTACGATGAAAACCTAAAAATGATTGCACTAATGCCAAAATTATTTTGCGAAAGCATCATTATTTAGCCATTTTAAAGAACATTCGTTCAGTCATTATTCATTCATTCATTCATTCATTAAATACGCTCCTCGTATTCGACTGTTCATGCCACAGTAATTTGTGAACAACGTTGTTTGTCTTGAGACGTGAGGAGCGATTATCACGCATACTACCTTTTAAATGTATCTGGCGACCGCAATCACTGACGTAATGAAAAGATTCCATTATTGAATTAAAACTATTAATGTGCGTCCCATCTGTAGGTTGAGTGGAATCTGAAGAAGGCGCATTATTAAAGTTGCGTATAACATCAGAGCACCGCTTTCGAGCAATCACGCCCATGCAGTATAACATCTGCCATACCCTGTGCTATGTATCTTGTCAAGCTTTGAAGCTTACGTTAGCAGAACGAGCATGTGCCTACTAATATTCCACTAATGCACTATTGATATACTACCGTACAGTATAAAGCGCTACTTGAAGTTGCGTTAAATTAATATTCAAACAAGACAAACTGGAAACCACGAAAGATATATCTGCATGCATTTTTGCACTATGCGTTTTGTTATGGTTTGGTTTTCAGTACATTCCAAGGCCTACTCTGGGGCGGTAAATCGCTTTAAATCGCATTAAATCGCGGGTTAAAATTGTCGAATTTCTCTTAAATCGCCTAAAATCGCTTAAAATCGCCAACATGCATTCTGTTTGATACATTCAGTCCATGTACTCAAGTTTATCAATTGCTGCTATTTTAAAGGGCAAATCATGTAATCCAGGTGCTGACAATATTTGGTCATTCAATAGACACCGGTCATTGACAAAAACAGAGCCTTTTTCTGCTTTATGCAGACTTTGCAATAATTAGGTAATTCTGGGATCTAAAAGACCCATAGATCCCATACACTACCAGCAACAAAATTGAGCTAGTTACCAGTTAATTTCATTATTGGTGTAAATGGAGGCTGGGCTACAATTTATGTGGACTATGGAGGCTGGGCTAATCTATAATCTACATGGCTTCTCAAAGCCTAATTGCTGTTAATTAGAACAGCAGTAGGAGACTAGGAAAGTCAATGAGTACGAGTGTTGATTTATATAATAAAGTCATCGTGTAATTTGTGCACTGTTGCATGTAAGATCGAGCACTGCGTTGTAGACAATGGTTGTATTTCGACATGTGCATGGTTATACTCTAGCTCCTAGTTATAATTATAGTGGCTGTCAAACGAAAAATATACGTGAGGTTATGAGCGATTTGCAACTCTCATCTATTTAATTTCCCAGACCTGTATATACAATAAACAGTAAATTAAACAATGATTACATCGTACATACCATACAATAGATCTTTTGTTGTTGTTTGTTTGCAGAACCTAAAACCACGGTGTAGTGCGCCATTTGTTTAATACTGTATTATTTTGTTTTTAATTTTAAAATAATATAGAAATTAGAATTCCTACCATTTATATACGATATACTTCATGTAATTTAAACATTACAGCATTACGCCGACAGTTTCCGAATGCGTGACGATACTGTTTCTGGATATGGCACTGGGATATGATATAGATATCAAAAATTTTATAAAATATGTTTGTAGCATGAAGAAAGCACGAGATTGAAACAATTTAAATAAAATGCAAGCTAAATAAAGAAATTTTGACATGATACAAAACAAGATAATTTCACTTACAAGGGTGACAAGGTAATTTATAGGATTATAGCTTATTCAGTAATCAGTTATACTGTATAAATACATTGTGTGTTTCTCTTGTGGGTTTTTTGGAAATCAAATATTATATTTTGCAATTTTAACTCGACATAAATTAATGATATTAAAGTTTAAGACATGTGTAGTGCATGCCCCTTAAGTATAGTGTAGGTCTATTAACTGTTTACAAATTTGTGGTATATAATGTAGCCATGAATGACCACATGACACCACAAAATGAACCCCAATGGCTTCTAAATAGAGAATGGATGAAAAGTTCATGAATATTGAGCTTTATATGTGAATCAGATTAAATACAATAATTAGTTAACCTAGCTTTATGTAAAATGTACATACATGTTCTAATAATTGTATTTTGCTTCATACAATGCATATGTGTGTGGAAACATTACACTATTATTTAGCTCACTCCCCACATTGGGGCTTTTCAGTGACCGATTACATCAAGTACTTTGATTACTTATGTTAGCTAGACTATTTATCTTTACAACAATGAGAATATGATATTACTATCCTAACTGTGTTTATCCTAACCCACCCTGCCAATTTTGCCTTGTGGGAGGAAACCGGAGCAAAGTATAAAATTCAATTCCTTTGAAAACAACTAAATTGCAATCCCTAAAATTTAAAATTTTTTCCTAAATCGCCTAAAATCGCATTAAATCGCAGTGCTTGAAAGTCCCAGTTTTTCCTTAAATCGCCCAAAATCGCATTATATCGCAGCGATTTAAGGCGATTTACCGCCCCAGAGTAGGCCTATTCCACGTCAAAATCTTAATCGTACCCTAATCGTAGCTTATGGGGCCTGTTGCATCATCCTACCTTTTCACTTTAGGTAGCGTATTTACCATTCGAATGAGCAATTTATGTGCAGCAGTTGAAAAACATCGATCGAAAAAGTTACTCATTTTTCAGTTTTCAATAACATTTAACTTTAATATTTTTTAGTGTTTTTCAAATATTCAGGACCACTTAAGCAATTTTAGCTATTGGTCTGCATATCTTGTAAAATTTTTACCCGTTGACGATTTTATTTGTTTTTGAAAACTGAAAATTCGCGTCGCGTTGCCGAATCGCGTCCGGTCTGTGTGGGCCTTTATACTAAGAGATCACTATGATTCACGAAAGGCCGCCATCTTGGCTTCATGCAAGCATATAGGGCCGTTTACCTCATTGAAATGAATATATACTGGAACACTGCCTTCAGATAAACTGCCTATCTTTTTCTTGAAGCCAAATGCCAAATCAGGTAAGATCACGCGTGTTTATATCATGATTGACTGATTGAACGCTCTTTACATGAGTGAAAACACTGGAACTATATATATAGCCTTCAAGTTTGGCTTCAAATTCCCGGTTGGAGTTAGCGTTCCATTTATATTCATTTCAATGGTTTACCTGGAGTTATCGTTCCAGTATTTATAGAGTTCACTGGTATTAATTAAAGAAACATGTAATTTTAAATTTTGTTGACGAAGGAAAGAGAGCAACCACGGAAATAGTCGGACAAATGTACGTTTTACCTAATTGTCGCCATTTTGAACTTTATATTTTTAGATCTATGTTGTAAAGTTTGTTTGTATCACATTTATATAACATGAAATTGATTAAAATCCTGAAACACTGCGTTCGTCGTCCTTCTAATGTCGAGCTAAGGAAACAAAACCGATGCATGGAATTAAATTCAAATGCACAATTTGTGCGAAGCAAAATGGCCCATGTAAAAATCACTAAAAATATTTTTACGACAATTATTTCGAGTGTTGAACATGATATCTCAAGAGTGAGCGCAGCGAACGAGTAAGTAAGATATCATGTTCAACACGAGAAATAAATCTGGTTCCAAGCATCCATGTATTTTTCTGTTTATTATAAAGGACAGTCCTTGAAAAGCGATAATTTTTTACACAAAAGCGATAATTCAAAAGCGACAATTTTCACATGTGAAATTATCATAAATAATCTCACATGTGAGATTATCAGTTTATCAGTGCTCGAAATCTCTATAAAGCGCTATACTTTATATAATAAATGCTATTATTACGACTGAAACATTTTTTGTGACATATATATTGGATTTGGGACATATATACCGATAACATTGATTTATTTATTTAGCATGTTAATTTGCGCAATATAAATATTATCATTATTATTGAATATTTATTTTACTTGTATTATCCCATGGAATGGAAAATTCCATCTTTCACCTATTTTTACCATTGCACTCATGAACATTCATTATTTGTACAGTATGTTTTGTTGCCCTTTTAGGCTCAATACCATAACTAAATCAATACTGGACGTCGCTACCACTTTTCCAACTGAGTTAACTAAGCCAATGTTGGCATCCATGACGTTCTTGCAAAATTTGGAATGATTGCTTTGAAAAAATAATAATAATGGTGGAAGGAACATTCAGACGCAGTGCAGATATGCATTCTGTGGTTTATGTGTAATTGCTATGTTGCTATGCATGCGCTTAGTCAGTGGTAGACACGTAATTAATAGCCTCTTAAATGATAACAGATATGAACAAACTAGAAATGCATGCATGCGGAAACCCATCGCCTTGCTAGAAAAACAACTATATTTTTCAAACATGAAGTATTTGACATTGTTGTCATGGTAATACGATCATTTTATTATTTTATATTTTTAAAACTGAAAACAAACTCCAAAGTAATCACTTGTATAGTTGTAATTACAAAATTGTCAATTGCTTTCTTTTAATTACAAAATTATCAATTTCCCAAATATATATGTTAGGTATGTTATTGACTTATTGTGCGTTATAGGGGCCTATGAAGCTTAAAGCTTCAATTTAATGTAAAATTAAACACATATCACATATGCTCCCGGAAAACGTTTTCAAATGTTCATGAAAACTAAACTATACCTTTTATCGATATTGCATTTCTTTGAGTTTGAAACAAAATGAATTTTGAATTGAACAAAATGAACAAAATTGCTCTCCTCTATATTTAATAATCTAAAATAATAAAAAAGTGTAATTCATAAAAAAAATACACTGAATACGCCGTCTTAATATTTTTTTTCATTACGCAACGCAAACAATACATCACTATTTAAAACAAACTTTTGTTTTAAAACAAAAACTCAGATAAATTTGATTAAGTTTTTATACTGCTTTTAAGTGCTTTTATTCTTCTATCTTTCCAAATTTTCCTGATTTTAAACACTTGTTTTTTGTAACGTTGGAGTGAAGAATCACTAAACTGATATAGTATAGCCACTTCAATACCGCAGTGGTTATTAACAATGCTTGCAGTTTTGTTGATTTGTTAATTGTTATGGCGACTGAAAGTATTTGTCGAAAACCAACACGCCCAAAATTTAGTGAAATACAAGAAAAACAACCTTGGTCCTTGTCAATAAAAAATATGTAACTATAGAATCATTAAACAATGTATGCATGGAGAAGAAAATAGGATGATTTTTATTATGCATACTCTCATATTTTTTTCAAAAGAAGCTTAAATCTGCGGCGTTCCAGAGAGGACGTTAAAATTGTCGTGAAATCGTCTAAGACGACGTTGCAAACCAGAAGCTGACGACAGACGACATCCGAACATGATGTTTAAAAAATGAAGGCTACATTAATTAGTCATTACCTGAGTGATTTGTAATCTTATTTCTTCAACAATAGCTTCATACTTGCAGTAAACGTTTAATTGTAGCCTTGTTGGTTGGTTGTTTTGGCCATACAAAGTGGATTGCAAACTACAGCAATACAAAGGTCTCCTCTTCCGATTGACCCCAGCATATTTTAGATTATTAAAATATATATCATGTTTTATTTTTTTTTTTCGGGTCCGTAATCCCAGGTCCGTAACGTAAATGGAGCCTTCTGATTGGTTGACGAGAGGTCCGTATCACACGATACGGTCCTCTCGCGCACTTACGGACCTCTCACATTTCGGGCCGAGGTGTGAAGACAAATTTCAAACTGAAAAAATTATCTAAAAATTTGAAAAACCTCTATCGATACTAAAGATAGAAAAATAAGCTGAACTGATTTCAATGGATTTAATGTCAATCCCGAAATGGACTAATGTACTACATTTTTTTCGACCTAAAAGTGAAAAAACATTAAGTATTTCATTGACATTGTAAGTTTGGAAAAAGAATCAGTGACAGCGCTAAATGTTTAGTTTCAAAAGCACAGCATATGTTCAGCCATATACTTCGAAATACGTACGTTAATAAATACTGGAACCATGGGAACTTATCCTGATACACAAAAATTTTAAAACTACCTTAAAACAGCAGTTTCAACATGACTTATTTCAGTCATATATTTTATAAATGTTGTCATGAACACATTAGGGCCATTTATACGAGCGAAAATAAGCCGCAGCCTAAATAAACCGCGGCTTAAATAAGTCGGGAACGATTCGTATAAACAGTCATTGTGTTCGCAAACCGCGGCTAAAATAAGCCCAGAGTTGAAAGCTAGGCCTAAATAAGCCGCGGCTTATTGCAAATTGACTGTTAGTCCAGTCAATCTGTGACCAGAGGTCAAAGAAATTGCAATAGAATTTTTCTCAGTGGTAAAATGTGAGGGGAGGTGTCCTGATTAACATACTAAAAATCCCAAAAAATCCCTTCGGTGGAACATGGTGAAAGTCAAGTTTTTAGTGCAAAGTTGCTTTGCACTATTGTTATGAGGTTAAATTCAAATCAGTGACCGATCGATCGATCTATACAGGGTGTATCAAAAAAAACTGAACAGATTTGAAATCGCTCTCAATTTCGCAAAACACCTATTTGTATCCCGTTTTTTATATATATAGCTTCTTTGGGTACTTATAATGTAGAATAATGAAAAAAAATTCTCAAACTCGAATTTGGTGAACCAGGGGGGTGTGTCTTTTCCAACAAAATAAAAATGGCTTGCGCACAAAATTTAAAAGCTGTAATCATATTTTGAGTTAATAGATGGAAAATTGGTCGGGTTTTTAATAACTGTACAAAATTTCAGACAATTTGGTTTAGTTTAAGCCGTTTAACTATTCACGCAAAGTTACATTTTTCCTAAAAATCAGCTATTTGCATGCTTAATTAATGCATTTGCCTAATTTGCATATGTTAGCAATATGCAAAGTAGGTAAATGCATTAATTAAGCATGCGAAAGGCTGATTTTTTAGAATAAAATGAATAGTTAAACGGCTTAAACTAAACCAAATTGTCTGAAATTCTGGACAGTAATTAAAAACCAAACAAAGTTTCCATCTATTAACTCAAAATATGATTAAAACTTTTAAATTTTGTGCGCGAGCCATTTTTAATTTGCTGGAAAAGACACACCCCCCTGGTTCACCAAATTCGAGTTTGAGAATTTTTTTTCATTATTCTACATTATAAGTACCCAAAGAAGCTATATATATAAAAAACGGGATACAAATAGGTGTTTTGCGAAATTGAGAACGATTTCAAATCTGTTCAGTTTTTTTTTTATACACCCTGTATAGAATAAAATATTAATTATAGTTCATTTCCATTTATGCAGTTCGTGTCTAGTGATGTTCGTAGTAAGATTACATGCAGTAAGTCACAGTTATGCCGTTGTGAAATTGGAGAATCAGTCATTCAGTGTTCGATACAGTGGTGATTCATGGTTCGATTTCTGCAATATTGGCCGCGAGTTTCCGATTTTCCCCCCAGAGTCAAAAGCGCATTTTATTCAGTTTTACCCAGCCCTGGTTTGACCTATGAACAGTAATTAACAGTTTAGAAGTACAAATAAAGTAATATTAATAACTTATGGTTTAGGTTTCCAGAGTTGAGTCTAAAATCGTCCTAACCGATTGTCTTTTATAGAATAGGGCCCTTACTCCTGACCGGCTGGGTATGCCACCTTTACTTGGTTACTACGCTGGGTGTATCGGAAAATGGCTCAAATAATAAACGAGACATTTTAAACTGTAGGTTGTAGTATTTTCGTCCTTGATTATAGAAGTAGGGACCGCCGATACTCAGTATAGAGGTTCAGATTTGACTTCCACTATCGCTACCACTACCTCTAACCTCGCCTCTAACTGGCTTGGTATGCATCTGATTGGTTAATCGAATATATCACACGCATCTGATTGGTTGATGGTCCCTTAATGGTAGCGGTAGCGAAAGTCAAATCTGAACCTCTACGACTCCTACGACTACGGTGTTCAGGAGGCGGCTACTTTCGAGGGAGCACTACGTTTCGTAACACTATATACGGACATGGACCACGGACCATGATATTCGAAACGGCTATAACCTGTTTAATGTGATGGCTCATATTATTAAAGGGTAGTCAGTACCTGTCACTATATAGGGTCACACAATGTCATATAGTGATACAAAATTATTAATAGTATAATTGGTATATATAATTGCCTTATACTGTTATAAAAAATAAAGACTCTTTCTTACAGACGGTACATAATATCCTCTCTATTTACCATTAAAGGTATACAATTTTAAACATGCAATCTGTATTCATCTTCTTGCGTTTAAAAAGGGAACAGTGAAATACCATTTTCATCGTAAAATAAACTGATTAAACTATTTAGAGAAACACGGTGTTTTCCTCAAATCAAATTTCATCGCGTGGACAGATTATATAGCGTTGCTATTTAGTACTCAGTAACTAGGAGGGGATTTAAGACTTTAAGTGTAAAAAAAATGAAGGAAAACCGATCTGACCGGACGTTCCATTGGAATTCCTATATACCCACCCAACAATTTTCTGGCTGCCCATTATATTACCAGTTAAAGTGTAAAACCACACACAAGAGTTTCTATTGAAATTATTTATTCTCACGATTATAATTTATGATACAATAAATACTAAATTCAGCTTTTATAGAGCACCAGCGGCTCAGCGCTAAAGATATATTATCTCTTAATTAATATATACATATGTACAAAATTCATTCTATTTTAATTTCAATGCAGCGAAAGGAAACTTGGTCAACGCATTCGTGTCCTGAAACGGTCCGTGTTCAGTATCGACTGAATAAATTATGATAACATGTATAACATGTACATTATCATTTACATATGATTTGCATTTGAATGCATGTTTACGTGTCATGAGCAACTTTTAAATAAACTTGCTGTTGGCGTCTGTATGTATTGTTCAATTTCAGTTCATTCAGTTTTGAATCACATCACGACTTGACAATGGTTGCAGCCCTTTGCAGAGCTATGCTGAAAGGTATTTGACCCCATGGGCTGTTGAAATATTGGCGCGTACAAAACACGAACGTCCGCATTTAAACGCAACAAGTCCGATAATGTTCTCACACAGAAATGAGATTAGCTTTCCCATGACTCATTATGTGACTTGACTCCTCACTGTCCTCGTATTCTTCAATTGTCGGTAAGAAACTGCAACATTGTGTCGTCTTGTTTAACTTCATATCAGGACACTTGAATAAATCTAACCAACAGTCTCTCTCTTCCGTTGAACTCGCTTCGAATGTCAAATACGATGGCCCTTTTCCAATTCGTTCTTTCTTCGAACAAAACGTGAATGCTTTCTCGTCTAATGCTCGTACTTGGCAGTCGCTAAGTGCTAGATATGCAGCATTCCTTCCTGCAAGTACCTTCGCTCTGCCATCGCGTGTAAACACGGCAAAGGGGCTCGGAGTATTACGATACACAGTTACCGTAAGTCGCTGTCTACCAACTCGTTCGTCGCTTATAAGATACAGTGTTCCACTCTTAACTTGGCTCATTTCTGTTACAGCGTTAAGGAAATTGTGTTTCATTCTTGACTTCTATGAATTAAGGTTTCTCTTCGAAATCGACAGTCTTACACGTTCACCGTCATAAGCACAACTGATCAGTGCACTGACGAAATGACGTTTTTATCCTATCGTGTTTGTCGGTGCTTTACTGGAGGAAGTCGAAACCCTTAAAAAACAATCAACAATGAGTCGGCAGCCAATGAAATGACCCGAAAGCTGAACCTGTAATGTTTTCGTATGATAACACCCACAATTGACGTCACGCACGAAAATTTCAAATCACTCTGTCTATTGAGAGACGGCTTGTATGTCTCCCAACGACAAACAAAGAAATTACGAAGTTGCTGGGTGTTTGTTGCCAGTGTTCACAACTATTGTCGTCAATTATGCGCCTTGAATAATCTATTGTCTTGTGAATATTGCCTCGAGAATTGAGACTTAACAAGGTCATGAGATTCGTGCCGACTTTCGAAATTATTTCTTTTATGTTGTTTCGTTATGATTTGACATTAATATCCGGTCAGTGAATCTCATGCCCAAAAATTTGCGGCTTCATACTTTATCCCGCAAAAACCAAAAGTAAATATTTTGTGAATCACTGCTCACGTGCGCTTGTTTAATATAAAAATATGCATGTAGCATCGTATATGTTTACAAAAACGTAATAAATTGACATTAGTGAGAGTCACAAAAGAGGGAAACATTAATGAAAGAAGTGTAATTGCATGGACACTTGAACTGACACATTACAAATAGAGACAAAGAATTGTATAGGATCTTAAACGTAACGTGGGTCCAATGTACAGTGTATAGGGTATGGTATTTAAATTAAGCTGTGGTGGCCAGTGGTTTGATTTTGGTGATTAATTAAGCACTGGTTTAAATTCTTTCACGTAGTTCCAATCAAAACAATCGCAGCTTAATATGTAAGATCTTTGACCACATTGAAAGTCGAAACCACCAAAGGGCAAAGTGAAATGGTTGATGATCATCTGGTCGTTTCAGCGCATTAAAAGTGACGACGTGTTTCCTCTATTATTAAGGGCAGTTTAAGGTGATAATATACAAGTTCGTTTCGAAAGAAACAGAATGATCCAGAACGTTAATCGTTTTACAAGTTCGTTTCAAAAGAAACAGAATTATCCAGAACGTTAATCGTTTTACAAGTAAGAAGTGTCAAAGATTATTGGATTAAGAAGTAACGTCGTAAGACAAGTGTTTGTTAATTAACAGAATTTGGCTTTCATTTGACGGTTATAGTCAATTGATTCAGTTCAATTGACTCCAAACTGCACAAACAAAGTTAACTGCATCAACTAGATTTACATTTGCGTGGGGTGATTTTTAGTAGTGATAACACAACACTAATTATGACTCATTTACTAAGAAAATGTTCGGCGTTTTAATAAACAGTTACTTATCCCAATGCGCTTTATCATACATCGAGTATTACGCTTAACGAATTGCATGTACAGTATATTTAGCCTAGGTTATTTTGTCTTTTCTGTGTTTAGCCTTCCCCCCACCTCTCCCCCTCCCCCCCCTCCCGATCAACTTTCCCTATGAGTGAAAAGCAAACCTACGACTTTCGGTAGAGTGTTGACTTTTCACACGAGTGGGCAACGAGAGAATCGAACCCACGAATCGAAATCACGTACGTGACTACTTTGTTTATAAAGATAAACTCACAGTCGAAATAAAAGCCACGACTATTATTGATTGAAAAACTAAAACTATTTCACATTTTTTCCAATGTTGTTTTTATTTCAATAATTTAGTATTGAGACCTGATATTTTGGATGGAATTATTAAAACCAAGTATAAGCTAATAGGAATATGCATCTATATAGGCCTACCTGAAAAATACAAGGAGAACTTCGACGTTATTGTTGACACTGACCTGTATACACTGCCACAGACTCCGTTCTAATATAAAGCTAGTCTGGCTGCCTATGACTTTCGAGAAAATAATAAAAGGCACATAGTTTCACGTCCTTGAAAATTTTCCAGACGTGGTTTAGCCTCATCTTATGCCCCATACTACTTCTATAACATTCAATCGAAAGCAAAACAAAATATATACTGTACGGATTGGGTGCTTTGTAAAAAGTATACGTAGAACGTACTATTTACTACTATATAACTGATAAGATGTTGAATGGTTTTTGTACATGGAAATTTCGAGTGTAAATTTGATACATCCCAGCGGGCAAAATGACGTTTATCCAACGTTGGAAATGACCTTCCAGACGTTGGATAGACGTTGAAAAAGGTTTGACTATGCAAATTGGATCGACGTTACTGTTTCGACGTTGAAACAACGTTGAAATTAGGTTGCCAATCTCGTCAACCATAATTCAACGTTGAATCCACGTTAAAACAACGTTGAGATTGGTTCACAAATCGACGTCGTACATTTAACCATGAATGAACGTTAATTCAACGTCTGTTGGCTGCTGTTGAACCAATGTTTGTAAAACAACGTCAGAGCAACGTAGATATTAGGTTGTCGACGTCGCAACCTTTTTTCTACCAAATTTCAACGTTGAAACAACGTCGTGTGCCCGGTGGGATTTTTAGCCTGCATGCATGACATGCATGACCCAACTAGGGCGGCGGTGAGCAGTTGCAAAAAATGCAACTATATTCATAGGTCATTAAGCATGGGCGTTTGTTTCATTCGACATCCCAACAGCATTAGCTCAGATGGTCAGTGTTCTGACCTGCTAAACCAGCAGAGACCTTGGCTTCGAAACTGAAATTATTATTTTGCGCGTTTAGTGTGTTTGGACTCCATTTGGACCCGCAAAGTTTCTATTCTTACACAGCGGAGAACGAATTTAATGTTGATCTTCTTGTACGTGCGCGTGAGGGGGAATATTTTCACAAAATTTCAATAATGTGAAATGTGTGGGCAGTAGAGAGTGTAGGCCTTAATTTGGCGAGTCTGTATTGACAAAACACTCAGATTTCCACAGTAAAATTAATTAAATTCTAGATAACAGAACAAACTGATGTGTAGTATACTCTACGCGGTTGCAGAATTACACCACCACCGACGCTTATAACGCAGAATGCATGTTTTTAAATTACTTTACTTCAAACGAGTTTACAAAAAAATTATGATATCCACAATTTCTATCGATTCCACGATATCAATTATATAACTAATTAATGTATGGACGTTCATGATTACGTCGTTTTAATTACTATACAACTCAGCGACACTATTAACCGTGTTTGACCTGGACAGTGGGCAATCCGCATTCCGCAGTCGTGGAAATCAGTTGGTCTGAAGTGTTATATACAGCAAGACAGCTGACATAAAGACAGCCATTTTTAAGAATTTGTCCGTGGGGGGGACGGGCATCTACAAAAAGGGACCATACTATACCGAATGCATGTGGAGAGATAGCAGATGCATGGTTGTTGGTGACAAAACGTTGGTGTAGTGTCGTTATGTAATAGTACTACTATAGTAGGAGGGTCTGGGGTTTGTATTTTTCAGTCCATCCCCATGCAGGGCTGCATTTCGTGCGTTTTCTGAAACAGATTTTTGGATATACAGCGTTTAAATTGTACTGTAGACAGACCGAATGTTCAGTACATGCATGGCATGTTTATGTAAATACCACAACTCAGTCACAAATTGTTTAGCCTCGCCTTCCAACAACTCAAATTTGTAGAGTCTGGGATATACTATCACTTGGAAATTTCTAAAATCTAAGGTATTTACAACACAATGTTTAGCATTTTTAAAAAGACATTGAATCATTTAAACATAAAAGACAGGACATAAGATTCACAAAGCAATTAATCAAACCTCCCTTCTAAATTCCATTTTTCGTCCAATGTTTTGCTTATATTTTAGAGAAAAGGGACTTTGCCCCCCCTCCCCCTCCCCCAGATATATAGTTAAAAAAGGCCCTGCATAAAGAAATGTTGCTTTCTGCAGTTGTATCATATAGTTCATTTTATCGCATGAAGACAGCAGTTTTCAGATGGACTATTTTGCAATCTTGCATGTGTTTTGTTGTTTTGTGTTTTCTGCAACAGGTCACTAACGTAATTGGCTCATGCTGTGTTAACGGCCGAAGTTTAATAAATAAATAAATACATAAATATAAATAACCATGTAGGCTGTACTTTGTGACAACATCCGTTTACGTATATTAATGTCAAGTTGTTTACGTTATACGATGCTAATAAGTGTGCATGTTATGGATGATATTATTTATCGCTTTATATTGTTTGTGTTGTTTGTTTTCAGTTGTGCAATAGTCGACCTTAAGAAGTGCTTACGTCATGCAACTTTTAATACAGAGAACTTCTGTAATGCACAGTGCATTGTGGGACACGTTTTGGGTCAATAATTTATTGTTTGAAAATTACGTGACGTAAGCACTTCTGAGGTTCATTTTAAGTCAGTCTTCACCTCTTCAGTTGACGAGTAACATCACTGTCATGTGATAGATGCGATAAAGTGTGTTCGTCTCTAAAAAAACTGCAGAGTACAGGACCTTTGTTATAAAAATACAGAACAAGCGAACATGTATAGACTGTAGTGTGGGAGCAAGGGAACAAATAGTAAATTGGGGGGGGGGGGGACGAAGAAACAAAGGAAACATTTTCAAATGAACACTGCAGGATTAAGGAACACAAACCTTCCTGGAAAACCCTCGTATTTAGTTGGCGCATGCAGGTAGCAATTAAAATCTAAGAGTTTCTATTCTAATTTTAAAAATATATTCAGCTAAACAGCACGTTTTGATTCATGCTATAGTTATTCGCACGTGATATATCTTTCTTCCAAAAAGTTCAAGTTAAATAAATACTGATAGGTATATATACCCACTTGAAAAGTGCATACATATAGACAGACCTATACCTGCCTATACTACAATGCTATAGGTATAAATGCACTTGTTGAAAGTTTTAACACATTGCCATTGGCATTGCCTGAAACAATTAAGTCAGTTCTGCGGGAGGATGTCATTCGCATTACAGAAATGATGCATGCATGCATGCATACATGCATGAGAACACAATACTACATGCTTGCAATCTTGGAGATGGGATTGAATAAACTGTTCATATTTTAAATGTATATTGAGTCGTTTAAGTTGTCTCCATCTTTCCAGGTCAATCGTTTCAGGAATCTATAATAATATAAGATTATATATATATAGGGCCGAAGTGAGGTCTCTAAAATAATGTTCAATTGAACCAAGGCCGTTCATCTCGACTCGGTCATATATGCATGTATGTACATAAACAACAAATTATGATTGCATAACGAAAGTCTAATATCAATAATCACATGCATATATATGCATGTGATGTAATGATGCACGTTCACTGCAGATCATGCATGTACATCATTATCACGAACGTACAGCAGCTATATATAGAGTATATATAGCCATATAGTCCGATTTCATAGATCACGTTTTTAAGATCTATTGATCGTGACGTATATTGTCTGTTGATGCAACTACCGATAAGGTTACAACACATTATATATTTTCTCCGTCTTGTCTATTTATTAACGAATCATTTATGTCGAAATACTAATTCACGCAGCTTAACTTAATATAAGTGTGCGAAAATTGGCTTTGAAGCATAATCTGATGACTGCAGCATGCAATGCAGGACATAGATCATGACAACATATACAAACAGATTCGAAAGCCAAAGTTATTTTTGGCTATCTTTAAAAGGGGGAACGGGGAATCGGGGAATGGGGAATCGGGGAATGGGAATCGGGGAATGGGGAATCGGGGAATATCATATTCCCCCTTTTAAAGATCTTTAACAGGGGGAATATGGAGGAATGGGGAATCGGGGAATATCATATTCCCCCTTTTAAAGATCTTTAAAAGGGGGAATATGATATTCCCCGATTCCCCATTCCCCGATTCCCATTCCCCGATTCCCCGTTCCCCCTTTTAAAGATAGCCGTTATTTTTGAACGTTCAACAAAAGCAAAATTAATCTTTCGGCTTTTCCCACTACCTCAATCGTGAATCGTGTTAATGTGTTGGAAAATGCAAGTGCTTTGACTAATTGAATTATTTACAACTCCACTAAATTATGTACTACAACTATTGTTTATTCCCATGGCGATGCATTTCAAAGTTCAAACATGCAATGCCGATATAAATCATATTCATTTAAAAATCATTTAGTATATATATATGCATGTCTTTTCTTGCGCATTCCCGCGTGTACTTGAACAAAAATAATTATATATAATATTCGACATGCATGCAGTGTTTTTATACAATATAGGTTGTAATTAAAGTCTCGTACTACAGAGTACAGACGTGTTGTTTATATAATATATACACTTAAAATAGAATTTCTTATAAGAAATTTTATTTAAGGATATAATGCAGCACGTTCACATGGTTTCCATATGCTCATATCAGGTTGTAACTGTCGCGAACGTGTCGTGAAGTGTTTGTCGTGAATGATTTTTATGCTTGTTCCATATGGTTGTGTTAACTGTCGTGCACTGTCGCAAGTTAATTTCGTACCCAGGGATCGTACAAGCAGTTGGCGGCGTTTTAAAAAGTCCCCCCCCCCTCCCCCCATTGTCGCAAAACTGTTGCCACGCTGTCGTTTTTTTCCGTTCCACTAAAACATAACCATCACGACACGTTCAGTTTAGCCTGTCGCAACTGTCGTCGAGATATATAGAATTCGGGTCGAACTCGACTAGCTAGAGAACAACTGTCGTCGAGATATAGAACGTCAATCTCGACGACACTGTTGTGACTGCCAGCGTGTCGCGACAAGACTTTTCTTCATGTTTCCAATTCGTCGCGATCGACACTACTCTGACGACATGCAGTTGCAAAACGTTCGCGACAGTTACGACCATATGGAAACCATGCTATAAACAGCCATTCGACGTGCATGATAGTATATTTCTTTTAAATTTCTAAAGTTTAAATCTGTACCCAGTGGCAATGGAGTGCAGCAAAATGATCTACATCAGGATAACTAGGACTATAGGACAGGTATATAAAAGCTTTTAACAACGGCGTTACGCTGCAACAGTACTAACAGTTAACCGCTAAACGTCCAAACTATACCAAAGACAAAGCCAACTCAAGGCAAAGGTTATCTGCAACCGGAGCAGGTTCTACCTTCTGAGATGGACTAAAACAAGTAATCCCCAATTGCAAATGTTCATATTGAGCTTAGCTAGCTTAACTCCATCTTTCACTCTCAGTTCTATATCTGACAATTTATCTGAGTATTTATCTAATTTACCTATATTTACAAACTTTGTCTTGTGGACAGGAAAGACTGCATGCAGGGCAATCAAAATGTGTAATGAACCATATTAGGCTAGTACGTGTTCATACATAGATCACAAATGTCAAAAGCCTGCATGCTCGGCAGACGTTTTCTTCTATGTATGCATGTGTATGTGTTATAAAGCATTAATGTCATTGAATTTAGTGAATTTTACTTGAAGATGAAATTGAAGGTTAGCTGTGCATGAATAAAGTGGCAAGATAGCTGATCTGAGGATCTGCATGATGTGAACACGAAGAGCGGTATACAGCCATTTCAACTGAAAAGGTTGTCCTTAATTTACAAACCGTAAACGCCCCCCCCCCCCGGCACAAGTTTCAAGCTTTATAGTTAAATATTGCTGCTATTTCCATTTGCGAGTGCATGAATTCTTCTCGTAAGGAGATATTTACCATACTCCAAGAAATGGGCCCATATATGATTTTTGAACTGATTAAATGATGCTCCCATTGTGCTTTGCACGCTTAGAGTAAGGCTTAAGTTTAGAGTTCAAGGTAATTTGTAAAGCCGAAAGACAACCTTTTTTGAATTAGCTGTATACTATAGAGATTTACCCTAGGGCTAGGGTTCAGGTACTGTTGCATTGCATGATGATATAAAACGTGTTTTAAACAACACAAGAAAATCGTCAAAGCAATTACAATCATGACTTGTTTACATCAACATTTAATTCATATACATGATTTTATCGTGCATGTAATGAATCCCACGCGTCTGTAATCTATATTACATTCGGTCATGCACTACGAAATGCTCATTTAAAAATTTATGAATAATAAAATTAAATTAATAATAAAGTGTACGCGCGAATACACACGTAAAAACGCACAAGTTGTAACAAACTTGCAGCAGACTTGTAGCAATGCTGTTGCAATAACTTTTCAACAGGATGTGTTCGCACTGCTTGTTCCCAGCTTGTTGACAAGTTAATTGTCAACGTCAACGGCTTGTAACGCATGTTGACAACTTGCTACAAGGCTGTTGAGCTCAACAGACGTGTTACAAGTTGTTCCAACAACTTGTTATCGTCCTGCAATTCAACAATTTGTCAACAAGTTGTGAGTGACAATCTTGTAGCAACTTGATAAAATGACAGGATTGTTACAACTTGTTGACAAGCTCACTACACGCCTGTTGCGAACACATCTTGTTGACAATTTGTGAGATTTTTACGTATATCCATGCAATTCATGCAATTCATGCAGTGCTCATGCAGTGCTCATGCATGCATGCATGCATGGAGGGCATGCTTAGGCATATCAACATATGCGTTCAGGAGTGATGTCTGCTTACAAAATTTCGATCCCCTTTATTAACGGTTTTCGTTTTAAGTTCTTTGTATGATTGCATGGCGATAAAATATATAATAATTTTGTTTGTGGAAACATCACGTAAATTTATTACTGCAAAGCTTTCGATCCGTAAGCCCGGATCTTCATCATATGACATATTATTAGCACTGATGAAGATCCGGGCTTACGGATCGAAAGCTTTGCAGTAATAAATTTACGTGGTGTTTCCACAAACAAAACTATTATATGGTTTTCGTTTTGTTTTGATATATTATCCCAATTTTAAGTATTAAGATATATATACTGTATTCCTGAAACCGTTATATTCGATGTGGTGACAAGCAACTAATCCGACACTAATCCGTGTCGTATTTAAAGCCTGGTTCACATTGATCGTAAACATCGGCGATGCCCATTGTCGGTGGTCATTGATGCATAAAATGTTTTGTGCATTTTCTTCTTCGTTGCTCACAGACAATGGATCGCAGAACATCGCCGATCAATGTAAACCATGCAGGCTTAATTTAGATTCATCACTGGAGAACATAAAAAACCCCGCATAAATCCCGACCACTCATAGTCCATAGATAACGCCATCAAAAATCCATAAATAAACCAATGTTTCTCAACCAATATAGGCTTATACTAGCTAACATAACATTATATTGAAAATACATTCCGTTTACGTCAACTCTGATATCAATCTTCCCATAAAAAGGAGCCAAAAGCTCTTCGGAAGGAAGCCGTGTATGCAGAAGGCGTACAGGAAACTGATTCAGTAGTCTAGGTTAAACTGACGTAGCTACCTGCATGCGTGTCGCTCTATAGAAGAGCCGTGGGCTATATGCTGGCTAAATTGACGTAAAGCAATTCCTATACCATGGATGTTTAAATAAGTATATATTATAGTGAAGTTTTAGTTTGTGGAAAACACCATGTGGCACGTATGTTTATTATTGCAAAGTTATCGTCTAATATTGATTTGTATAATAAATTAACAGTCACACGTCCCTTTTTAGTTTCTTTTTATTCGACTCTTTTAGTATAGAAAGGACGTGTGAATTAAAACAAGTTTTTGGTTGGCACTGGTGGCTGGGCTTATACGGACAGAAAGCTTCAAATGCAAAAATAAAATATACGCGAGTTAATACGTGGTGTTCAGCCACAAACCATAACATATATAACTTTACGTTTGGTTGAAGGGATATATATATTTTATTGGCATATCTCTGTTATATTCTATATATTATAATAATATCGTTATGCAAACTTACAGCAAAGAACCTACAACATATAAACATAAGTTATATTTAGATTCAGGTTCGTTGACGTACTGATATACTGATATATATATTTACTGCATATGGGAAGTGTGTTTAATACTGGAACTCCGGAAATACGACGTACATGGAACTACTTGATTCTTGTACGATAAACAGGAATCTCTGACTGCTTCCGGCTACTACAAACTGACGTAAACCAATTCAATTACCCCAAACTGTCGCCCGTTCCAACTAGTACTTAAGACTTATGACTAAGTATTGCCTATTGCCTGCATTGGGCAAACGTTGTGATTCGACTATGGTAAATTTTAAAATAAAACCTTCACAGTCTATAGCTATTTTATTTTCTAGAGTCAAATTTCGTATGGTATATATTCGTAACTGAAATTGACACTAATTTGCAGTTCCGTTCTGCTGTTTATCCTGATTCAATATTGAATTGATATAAAGTCCAAGTGAATAGAGAATAGTCAAACGAACAATCTCGTTTACTAATCTTTGATAATCAATACTCACATGCTACATTTATTCAAAGTAAAACATATCTGCCATATCATAAGTCAAGAATTCAAAGAAGTACCGCATGGCTCAAAACGATATAGTAGTTTTTAGTAGTTCCGACAGGCGACACCTATATTTTTTCCCTCCCGTACACCTATGATGTGGGTGGGTGGGTGGCAAAAATTTGCGAAGCATACTTTAAGCCGACATTTTCAAAACGTAGCATATTTCGTCATATTTCGGCGATTTTAATGCGCATTGTACTTCCCTTTTTTCACATAGTAGAATTTCTCAATTTTTAAGTCCAATCTACCCCGTTTTTAAGGACAATCTGACCGACTAAGCCCATCCCCCCCCCCCCACGCCTGGGAAGATGGGTCTTCGATTCGTTTTCGTAATACGAACTCAGACAGGGACCCATCTTAGGTCTTCGTTTTCTTAGGTCTCCATGTTCGACACACCCAACATATTCAATTGCATGAAAATTATACATTGTCAAAGAACTAAACCCAATCACTTATCAGGAGTTCAGAAACCATATAGGTATAGATCTCCTATATTTACAACATCAGCGGCCGAGTTGTATCGTACATACAAACTCGAGACAAAGGCCAGAATTTATACATATATCCGATACAACACCGCCGATGCGATGTTGTAAATGGCTTGTGAAATGTCTTCATCAGAACCGATTCCTATTCTTCAACAATTTAAAGTAAATAACTGATATTTGGTGTTTGGTCTTGGGTAAATCAGCATGATTTTGTATCAGATTTGCTGGTGATGATTTCTTTTGTGTTTTCTTCATGAATTATTAACGAGTTCTTAGAAGGCTCTTTGAGTGCGAATCTGCATGGACTACTGTGCTTTAATTAAAAGCGAAAAGCCCAATGCCCAAATGGGGACAATGGACGTGCATGAATATTTTGAATGGATTGAAGGCATGAAAGTTTGTTTTCCAAAATGCTAGAAGTGCATGATTGAACAGCAGTATGTGGGACGTGGAAACAATCCCACTTCTAACCTCGTACCCAGGCTATTTTCTCTCACACTCCGATGCCAAGGCCACCTGCTGACCCTGAGTACGAGGATGTCCCACTTCTGGCGGGCAAAAACTACCCACTATTTTAATAACAATTTCGAAATTTCATTGTATAATGAGAAATTTACTCTTATATTATAGAAGTTTCTTCAGTTTTCCAAAGGATCTGCCGTATATTCTGCAGCTAGCACATCGACAGAAGCCAAATGAACTCTCATGTTTAGCATTACTCCATTAGCTTATTCTAATTATACTGATTAATTTCAGGGCAGATGTTTTAAATTGTATTCATTATAGGCTTTGAAATTCCCTTGACCGTAACTGACTAGAATAATTGACTTTACTCTAATGAGTAATGTATAAAACAAACAGGGCAAAAAATTCGGATATTATGCATGCATGCATGATTCCCTCGAGTTTCCGTTTGAAAAATATAGTTAATTAAACTAAAATTATATTTCTAATTTTCGTCGTTAAATTAATATATTATGTTGTTGTTGAAAACAGTCATGCTGACACAACAGGTGGAACACCAAAGCGATTATCGATGCGACATTGTGTCCATGGTTACAGTTAATAATACACGTCAAAATATTACCGTTGAAATTAAGAAGTTATTTAGAAGAAATGTTGGCAAACATCTTCATTAGTGGACAAACATGGTAAAACGTATGTTTGAGCAGCCACGGCGAGCTGACGTATTGGCAGGGAAACAAGAAATTACTCCTATAACGGTCCTCCCTCCATTGCCATTGGCTCCAATTTCAAATATAGATTGCTTGTCAGGCAAGTTAGGTAAGAAACCGACTCCTCCTCGTAAAGCAAGAACCTTTCCAGGAGCACAATCATTCAATCCTCTGAGACCAAGCTCCGGAGAAGTACCAAGGAAACCATACAAGTTTGCCACTCTTCCACCAATATCACAAATAGATTTCCTTTCCAGCAGAACGCCGGCCGACACAAATAACAATATTAAGAACGATAAGTTTCCAATATCAAACGTGCGTTGTCTTAACGCTGATGAACCTAATCTGAGATACGAAGACTTTAACGACGTATTGCCTTCTGGTAGAGTGGCAAAGAAAGACTTCGGAATTAAACCTACAGACTCGGAGTTCATCAAGTTGTGTAAAATGAATGGCCGAACAAATCTGTTGAAGGAAAAGGAAATTTTGAATAAATCTATTGCCATTGGGCTACCAGCACGTGAATTTAAGATGACGCAAAGAAGAACTATTCTGCGTTCTCCCAACGAGGATTGGACTCCTTCAGACTGGGTGAAATTTAAAGTCTACGGCCACAAGGGACAACTTCGATAAATCACAAGCACATGAATCATGACAAGTGAATGAATTGAGCAACTAACGTTGTCTAGGTTCCAATGCGGTGCCCGTTCTTGTGCAATTGGTTTGGTTGAAGCGACGAATAGAATGACAACTGCCTTATTGCCTATAAAGAAATGGAGGAAGACAAGGCTACTCTACGCAGATGTCAGAGCAATGCAAACATATTGATTTCACATTCTCCAATATGAAATTGAACGGAAAAAAGCAAATATTAGATGGCTAAGCTGTAGCCGAAATGTGTATGCTATATAGAACCAACATGTGTAATATACCTATAATTTATATAGTTGGATATTTACAACCATTGAAAAATGATTGCATTACAAAGAAAGAAATATGAAAGCATGTAGTCACATGAGAACAACTAACAGCTAATAGTCTAACACAGTAATAATATGAAAACAATTGTGTACTACTTTTGCATGCAGTTGTAAAAATGCTTCCAAAGATGAAATAAATATAATATATATGTATATCTCTAACTGAAATGTCCATTTGCCATGCACATGCACTCGTCTTTTCTAATACCATTTAATTCTGCATATCAGTGTATTTCCTTCAATTTATACAGAAATGTTATTCTTTCTCTTCCAGTCCTTTCTGCCTCCAACTGCAATATTTATCAATAATGGCTGCTTTACACAAACTTCATTAATATTTCCTCGTTCGAGACTCTCTGCCCAACTGATCTCTAACACGTTTCACAGCCTCTCAAGTTCTGCTTACATTTTTCAGGTAGTTGTATCTCTTAATCCGCAGCTGTCTTGATATCGTAGCTACCTGCATGCCAATCGTTCGAGCTTTTCAACCACGCCCAGATGGACCATTTGCATTATAGACTAAATTTTGATCTAGACAAAAAATTCATCACAGCTTGAAAGAGCATCACAAAGTTAGTAATATTCCAAAGTTTCGTTGCGAAATGTTGTAAAATGCGGATAACATAGCCATGCGAAGTTTGCCGTTTTTTTCAGTCATTTTGTATTACGCACGGGAAATTGACAGCCCAATCGGGTGTTGGGGCATCAATTTCCCGTTTGTAATGCAAAATGACTGAAAATTGCAAACTTCGCAAGGCTATAGTATCCGCATTTTACAACATTTCGCAACGAAACTTTGGAATATTACTAATTTTGTGGTGCTCTTTCAAGCTGTGATGAAATTTTTGTCTAGATCAAAATTTAGTCTATAATGCAAATGGTCCATTGGCGCATGCCACATTGTCTGTTTCAGAACTATAGAGAGAACGCTCCAGATTAGCGTCTTTAAACATTCTAAACAAACCTTCTTGGTCAGCAGCACCTTTCAATTATTGAATGCATCTTAGACTAATGCTATAATTGGAGTTCTAATTTTTTGTTTACACGTAATTTTGTTCCAGACTGTTCGCATTCGCAGGCACTTGCTCTGGAACTTGACCATGTAGACTATAAATCTTTAGGTTTCTTGATCTGATCTTTCCTATCTTTATTGTCGTGTTGGCATTCCACTATCTTCAGAGAACCATTTTCTAACATTCTGCCTGGGAAATTATTAAGCCGCTGTTTGCAATATTACAATATTTCCAGTTGTTCAACTTTGAACATTCAGTGAAAGATGGAGTTCACTCGGCTGTCGCCTCGTTGAATGGAACATTCCATCTTTTACCTCATGAAAATATTCCTATCATTGCACTCATAAACATTCATTATTTGAAATATACCATTATATAGCTACTTACTTTTTGACTGATTGCGTTTATGCTACAGCTAGGCTGAAAGAGAAATTTGACACAAATTCGAAAATGCCACATTGCCACTTCATGCATGTATATAACTGTCAGTAGGATTCAGTATTTTTTACTACTGTCAGTAGAGAAACAGTCACTGATATAGAAGACTCGCAAACATGCACAATAACTGAAAAACACATTCTTTTAGCCATGTCGTGCCTATCTGTAATATCGCTTGGCAACAAGGGTGCTACACGTAGCATGCAGTTACGGTGGGTAAAATAAGGTTCACACGAGCTCACACTAAACCCGATCAGAGTTTAAACTGTGATTTGTCTGTGAAACTTTTTATTTTGCAGTGCTGCATCTGAATTTTATTTTGACAGATAAAAAGTTATTATCTGCTTTCAAAATCAGAAAAAATAATAAAATTGAGTCGAGTCTCAATCATTTGAATGTAAATAGCAGTAATCTTGAAGTTTATTTAATTCTATTTTAAAAATCGTTCACTTATTTCTTGGACTTTACAAATGAAAATCAAAACACAGTCAAAGCTTCATTAATCATTATACAGCCAATTCAAAAAAGCTTGTCCTTTGAAAAACCTTAAACTCTAAACCTTAAACTCTAAACCTTAAACTCTAAGCGCGCAAAGCTTAATGGAAGCACAAGATTCAAGCTTAGTAGTTGAATATTGCAGTTATTTGTGAATGAATTGTTCTCGTTGGGCCCCATATATGATTTCTAAACTGATTAAATGATGCTCCCATTATGCTTTGCACGCTTAGAGTTTATGGTTTAGAGTTGTTCAAAGGACAACCTTTTTTGAATTAGCTGTATAACAAGTCAACATGTCTTCAGCCGTTCCCATTTGTATAATAAAGCTAGCTCTTGGTTTTGTCAATATGATTAATTATTCAAACGAAAAGAAACAAGTATTAGCGATAATTCTTTAATGCGGTAAATGAGGTTTTGCGAACAAACAAGGAAGATGTCACCAAATTTGAAATATGGTTCTAGTATATAGACTACGTTTAAATTATTATACTGCACAGACTACAGTGTACAATATATCAGGCTAACTGTAGCAGTTTGTAGATTTGTGGGATATATATTTAATATATAAAAGTTATCGTGCATAAAATGGAGTGTAAAACCATTGAGCTACCTGCTGAAGACAAACCAGCCGTTCCAAAGTCCAAGAATAATCAACGAATATTAGAAGCAGTGAAATCAGGCAAAGCTATGGTTATTCAGCATTACAATGAAAAGACTTTAGTCCGTTATGAATACAGCGATCATGAAGGTACAATAGTTGTACTGGCTGAGAAACTGCCATGTGTTTCAGGAAGAACTGAGAAAGTTGATTTCAGCTGGCACAAAGTCGTTACAGTCTACACTTCGTGACTGTTGCCTGGAAATAAAACAAGAAAAAACTATTGGTCAAAGGAAATGCTTCGAAAAGTAATTCAGTATAACATGCAGAGTACCCGAACAGCATGATATTTAGTTTCATTTGTTAAAAGGATGAAAAGCAAATCTAAAATTTGGAATGAAGCTGACGTCCTCAATTTGTGGTCTCAAAAACTAATTAAAGGAGATGCAAACAAAGTAACTAAGGGGATTAAAGGACGTGCCAGCACAATAACTTTGTGTGCGAAATCCACGTTTATAGCACACACGTTATAAAACGACAGAGCTCTTTGCAAATAAAAGGAAATTTACTCCGAAAAAAGTGAAGACATTGATGACTTTCAAAAATTCATAGCTTCGATCGTCTCGCGTGACTTTTATTTCAAAACATGATATATGAAAAACAAAACGAACGTTTTTTATGTTTTTGAAGTTGTTGGTTGCATTATTTTCCACCAATCCTGTTGTATATATTTAATCATATATCAGGATTTTGGGCATCTCGGTATAGCTAATTGTTGAAGGGATTTTAATTGTAGATGGAAATTTTGAGTGGAATTTTTATACATTTATTTTAACACCAAACCAGGAGAAGTTGCCCTCCATTTATCAGAGCTAAGCAGCAGCATCAGCCCTCTGGCTTGGGCGCTCTAACCAACTGTACAAAACAACGTTTGGTTCTCAAAACAAGCATGGAAAACGATTTAAAATATCACAATAACAGCATAAAAATATTAGAAAACTTAGTTCCGATAAAAACGTCAAAAGGTCTGCTTTTTGTACAAAAACATTAACAAGAATGCCGTTCGTTCATTTGTGTATTTAAAACTTCCGCTTGCTATAGAATTACATACCGCTGGCTCAACCTACACTGAGATAACAGTGTTATGTGTAGGTTGCGTAATTTTCATATTTATCTACAAGCTATTGGCCCATCAGAAGATACGAAGTGACTACAATGTATAATATCAGGGTGTTGGGTATCTCACTCGATTGAACTAATTGTTGAAGGGTTATAGATGGAAATTTCGAGTTTAAATTTAATACATTTATTAGACTTGACCAGGAGCAGTTCCGAAAAATGCAACTATATACAGGTTCGATTCCTAACCTCATGCTAATAAATGTATAAAATTTACAGCCGACATTTCCATATGGTATAAATATCAGCAAGCTCTTTATGGCAGTAAATTAGATGCTTGTATATTCACATTTTTGCAGGTGGCCATAATTGATTTCCAGCTAGCCCCGTGTACGTTGCGAGCGTAGTGAGTTAACTAGATAGGGGATCAGGGGGAATTTTTTTGAGAAATTTCGCCTCCGAAGTAAGTTTTGGCTATAGGAAACATCATTTAGTATTTGAGATTGTATAGAAACCTATAAACGCGGCTATATAACCTGTACGGTCTGGGAAAAAGTCACGCAAATCTGACTACAGCGAATATAAATTATGTAAAACGATACTGAGAAATTACAACAATAAAATTCGTAAATTTTGTGGTTACTGTATTCCCAAATCGATTAATTCTTCTACTAAACTTCACTGGTATTTTTTTTTTAAATGTTAGAGAAATGCTCTCAGTTTTGTTCTTTCACTGACCGCAGGTATCAGTGTGTACGGGACATTATAGAAGCAAAGCTCTATGCTCTGCCAACATAGTTACAAAATATCTCCATGTATTAAAATGGAAACAAGCCTGGAGGAGTTCTAACTTACCTCAAAAATTAGCATACAACATCTTCTCGCGTTCCACTTCCTCTCGCCTTTTACGGATTTCCTCATTCATCTTTTGAATACGTGAAATCCTCACATCAAGTTCTGCTTCTTTATCGCCTTGTACTTCAACAACAGTTGTTCTCGATAATGAAGGCGATGTCTCGTACTCATCACCATCGTCGTTGCCATTTTGTTCTCCATCGTCTTCGTATATTCCATCTTCGTCCTCTTCTCCTTCAACTTCTATTCCGTCTTCTTGTTTTTCTCGTGCGTCGACTCGGATTTTCTTTGTGATTACGAGTTTCGTTTCACTTTTCTTTGGGCCCAATCTAGATCGTAGATCAAAGCCAAGCTTATGACGAACTGTAAAGGAAAAAACAACATATTTACAAACGGCCATAACACAGAGTTAAAACCAAATTGTTATCTGTACTTGCATGGTATAGCTTTAATCGGCTAACACAGGCTTTTGCCCGTTCAATTTCAGGGCTCGAAATAACGTTCGCAACGTTCCCGATCATGGTGATCGGCAATGAGGACTTTTTGCCGATCAAATAAAAATCTGGCCGATCAGGAGCAATTACCCTCATTTCCTTCAAAAAATTCTAAATATGCCAGTGGGCATTGAATACGCATTTGAACTTTAACTTTATTTCAAATTGAAGTTTAAATCTATGACATTTGTGGACTTATACACTACTAATAGTGTAACTATATTTAACTATAGTGCTTAATAAACTAGATAGTATACTTCAAAATACGGTTTCCGTTTTTATAGCGTAGAAAAAACTATCCTAACGCAAAACTAAACCCTAATACTAACCATTACCCTAACCCTAACCTAACCTTAACCTAAACCCTAACCTAACCCTAACTTATTTTAATTATTTTAAGAATTGATATAAAAACGGAAACCTTATTTTGAAGTATACTATCTAGCAATTGCCTTGCCTCTTTCAAAGCAACGAATTTACGTCTTCTGATATCGGGGAGACATATCCAACAATGGTTACGATGCAGCAGTTGGACTCGGATCATGAAGAGGACAGTGACATTGATATTTTGTAAACTTGTAAGCAGTGTAAAAACTTTCCGCCGTCAAAATGGGGACATTTTGTGACAAAAACATTTAAAACTTGTTTATTTTATTGTTAAAAGTTCTTGTCATAATTCACAAACAAAATATTTTTTTAAAGAGCGCCGCCCCCGATTGAGCGCCGCCCCCAAATGAGCGCCGCATCTGAAGCTCTGAAAATTTAAAGAGCGCCGCGGCGCTCAAACGAGTAAATACGGTAAACACTTTTCAAAATGTTTACCGTTTTATGGCCAGTTTACACTTGCAATTCTTGCTGCGATTCCTAGTTGGAATAGTGCGATTTTCTCCTCCTGATGCATGTGAACGAGTAGATGAGTTGCGAATGTTCGGAGTACATGTATCGTCATCTGAACATTCATAACTTATCCACTCATTCACATCCATCAGAAGACAAATGCACCTAGAATCGCAGCAAAAATTGCAAGTGTAAACGAGCCTTCAGGAGTTACCATTGTTTTGTATTTGATTTAAAATACTTGTATAAATGTGTCTTCTGTCATCACTGACTTAAGCATGTTGAAAAAATCCGTTGTGGTTGAGCAGTCATTGTATTTTTTCATACTGTACAAAACAATTACGAAATAGTCTTTATATGTATATTCTATATTTGTCACATGGTAGTAGACACGGGTAGATCTGCGGGGTATCGATAAATTTAAAAGAATAAATGGATAAATGAATAAATAAACATTTTTACCGTTTGCATCGACTCTTTTTTCTCCTAACCGTCCAGACTTCTTAAGCCTAGATTCCCTGATATCAGGCTTTTGTTTGACATCGATTTCCACAAAGTCATCATCTGTACGCGATAAATTGTTCTTGTCTGAAGAATCGTTCTTTTCCTCAACTGATCTGGAATGCGTACGCCTACGACGAGGCCGCTCATCAGGTCTATTGAACCGTGTGTCTCTTTGCCTGTCTCGTTCTCTACTACGATTTATATCCCTACGATAATCCCTAAGTGGGCTAGGTCGCCTTCCCAAACGGCTGTGGGGGGATCTACGGCGTGAAAATCTCGTGCTGTCGTCTCTCCAAGGTCTAACTCTATCCCTGCTATAACGATCTCTCCCATAACGATCATCTCTGTCGTAAGATCGCCGTCTATCAGGATATCTACGGTCTCTAGGTGACCACCGACCACGCGGTGATTGACGTGGTGGACCACACGGTGATTGACGTGGTGATTGACGTGGTGATTGACGTGGTGATCGTCGAGGTGATCGTCGAGGTGATTGACGTGGTGATTGACGAGGTGATCGTCGAGGTGATTGACGTGGTGATTGACGTGGTGATTGACGAGGTGATCGTCGAGGTGATTGACGTGGTGATTGACGAGGTGATCGTCGAGGTGAACGGCTACGCCTGGAGTCTTTCTCTTTGTGTGATATCACTGATCGCATCGTGTTTTTCTCCGCTGAACCGCCAGTTGAGTAAGAATATGAGCTTGAATGACTACTAGAACGTCTTGAACTATGTTTACTATGCCTTGATTTCTTATCATCATCACTGTCTGAATCACTACC